CAAGTTTGTGTGTACTCCTATATACATTTATTATAGCACATTTTAAAACTACTTGCTAGTCTGTTTTTACTGTGTTTTCAATGACATGTTTAACTGTCACTTTTGATTTCCTATTAGGCACTTGATGTTAAATTTAATTGCTACATGTGGCTTTCTTCATTATTTTTTGGAGAGGTTACAGGGTACTTAATTCAAGTATTTAGTTCATGATGACACAGTTAACTCTAGGTAGCCACAAATCTCTTCACCATTTACGGGTACCAATTTTAGGGCAGGGGATCAAATTTGTACCTGCTGGGCAAAGGCTCTACCAGTAAGCTGTACTTCCAGCCCTTTGCCATGTTGTTTTCTTGGACAGACTTTCTTCTTAAGAAATCCTATCTATGTGTCTGAGTTATGAGTGTTACACCAGTGTCAATTCCCTGATTTTAACATTGTGCTGTGTTGTGTAGGGTATGGTTAGGAGAAAATAGGTAAAGAGCACTGCCAAGAGCTTTCTCAAAATGTTAATTTTTGCAGCTTTTAAATTAAAACTTTAATTAAAACTTTTTTTTAGAGAAAAGTTTCAACTTAAACGTAAAAGTCATTGCAGTGACTATGACATTACCTTCATTAAAATACAGGACTGGTACGTAAGGGCAGGCACTATGGTGCTGTGAGTTAAAGGTACTTCTTGCCACACCCAGTGACCTGACTTCCATCCCCAGCACCTACAAGGAAAGAGAGGACCCACTCTTGCAAGTTGCCCTCTGACCCCCACTTATCTGGAGGTCCATAAACATGTCCACACACACACACAATACACACACATACAGTACACACACACACAATACAAATAAGTGATTTTACACAAGCACGAAAGCATTAGTATTAAAGCCACTAAATTACTTGTGGAATTTTGACTTTTCATTATTTAAAAATACACATGACTTTTAGGATATTATAGGCATGAGCTCCCAATGGGCAGAAACTTTTAAAAAAGACAAAACAGAACATTCTAAAATATGAAGAGTGCTTAGTTAGAACTCAGGCCAGACATGGTAGTCCACACCTTAATCCCAGCACTCGGGAGGCAGAGGAGGTGGATCTCTTCAAGACCAGCCTGGTCTACGGAGAATTCCAGGCCAGTCAGGGATATGGGAGATCCTAGATTTAAAAGAACAACACAGACTTTGACCTAGAAGGATGATGGACTTGAGTGAAGAATGTCTAGCTTGTCTGATTTTGGTGCCCACAGAGTAATGTGAATGTTTACTTGCAATGTGGAACCAAAAGGAAATTACCTAGAAAATTTCCCTTTCATACCTTAGTGGAGGTGCTGGGCAACCAACAAAATAATGATTTTGACTGGAGATTATCCTGAAGTCCATAGAAAATCTAAATACTAGTGTGTGCCACCTCATTCTAGCTCGTTCCACTAAGGAAGTTTGTGACAGGTGTTGTGGGGATTGTTGAGCCAGCTCGTTAATCCGAGCTCCATCCCAGGAATGTCACCACTCACCTGGATGGTGTCCTGTCACAGTCCACACCTTAGTCCTTCAGCAGGGTGTCGTGTTGGCCTAGGGATTCTTGCAGTTGACCAGCCTCTGTCTGGTCGTTAAATTTGTCTAAGAAATAATCTCAATAAAAGTTTATGGTAAGCAGCATAGTATTTGTTTCTGTTTTTGCTCAGGTGGCCGGTCTGATCTTGGATATAATTCATTATCTAAGGACGATGTTAGAAGAGAGGGTACATCTGCTGAAGACATTCAAGGGGAAAAGGATAAAAAAGGGAGTGATTCTAGTTCCTGTAGGTATTGATCGTTACACTGATTTTATGTAAGCTTGTGAACTTCCAGGCATAGAAAATACAAATAACTTTAAGTGTAAAAGTCCTACTTTAACCTTTGGTCTTCCTGTCATAACTACCTTCCTTCTCGCTGACCCTCGTCACTACCTAGTACTCCCACCCAAAAGCATCGTGTAGCAAGCGTGACTGACTGACTGCTCAGCGGTGAAACATGCTGTGTGACTCATGTGAAAATACTCACACTAGAAGTGTCTATTTTTTGTCTTTTTAGAACAGAGCTCTTTTTCTGAAGCTCACTACTACTTGTCTTAGTTAGGCCTATTGCTGTGATAAGACACCATGGACAAAAGCAACTTGGGTAGGAAGGGGTTTTATTTGGCTTCCATACCTCAAGTCACAGTCCACTGAGGGAAGCCAAGGCAGGAACAAACACACAGGGCAGGACTCTGGAGGCAGACTGATGCCTCCAGAGACCATGGAGGGGTGCTGCTTACTGGCCTGCTCCCCATGGCTTCTCTGGCTGGTTTCTTATAGATCCCATGACTAAGGCTGGCCCCACATACAATGGGCTGGGCCCTCTCCCATCAATCACTAATTAAGAAAATGCCCTACATGCTTCCCTGCAGCTAGATCTTATAAAGGCACTTTCTGCAGGTGAGGGTCCCTCCTCCCTGATGACTCCAGCTTGTGTCAAGTTGACATAAAACTAGCCAGCACAATACCTTCATTTAAAGTTTGTTGGTGAATTATGATTTATATTTCCCCTTTTCTTCCCACTCCAAAATGTGTCTCTTACAACCAAAGAGAAAATATAAAATTCTGTATGAGCCTTATGTATAACCAGCTCTTAGTAATTTGATCCACACGTGATGACCTTTAAGTGCAGTGAATTATTTGTGGTTGACAAGTGTGTAGAGAAGCAGTTAGTATACTCTTATCACCAATTTTTATTTTGAAATATGTAAGACTTTATACATCCTGCAACAAACATAAGTTTAATTTTGTTAACATTTTTACTTTTGCCTTTATAGTGTCAGAGAATGAGAGTACAAAAGGAAGTGCTGATTGCCTTCCTACTCTCAGTTACCAAAGTTCTTCCACTATAGTTCGCCTCAATGGTCCAAGTAACGGCAGTGCAGATCAGGCATCTGGAGACTGTGAGGGTAAGCTGAATGGTATACATCTGCATATGCAGAATGAATTGTATCTGTGTCTACTAAGTATGTATTTTTAAATGTTTTAAAATTAGATTGTATTTTATATTTGGTGGCAGATATCCTTACCCATGCTACCAGTCCCAGTGAATATTTATTTTGTAAATATCTTAATGCACTCGAATTATCTATTAGAATTTGTGTGCTCTCTCCTAGTAAAACTTGGGAGCTTGGGGTTTGTGTTTTATGATATATTTGCTCAAGCTTTCATTATAACCAGGCACACCTTGTTTTATTATAATAAGGGCACACCCGCAGCCTGGTTGCTGCCCTTTGAGTTTGGACTGTTAGGACTTTCAGAAGGGAAAGTGTGCAAAAAAAAAAGGGGGGGGAGGGGAAGGGTGGATCTGACCATATACCTAGCGGAGTTTTAAATGAACCATGTGCTTTTTTAGTCTGGTGTAGCTCCTGTTTATTCAAAGTCAACCTAAATAGTCCTTCAGATAGTTTAAGAAACTGATACCCCTGGCCAAAATCCCAGCACTTGGGAGGCAAAGGCAGTGAATCTCTGTAAGTTCCTGGTCCCCCTAGTCTACTTAGCATGCTTCAGGCAGCCCAGGCTACTTAGTGAGATAGTATCTCCCAAAGGGGGGGGGGAACAATCAATATTTTTCTTTTAAGAAAATAATGTCATATTACAATACAAAAATTTCTATATTAAAACAAAGGTAAAGTTACTTAATCTACATATATGGTCAAAAATATTTGAAGATTTAAAAATAATTTTTGCATGTGTATAGAATTGATATAGTTACCACTGGTTTGACTTGGTATTGGGGCGTGCTTTCCATTGCAAAAGGGGATGGCTCAGACTCTCAGCTTCATCTAGCATAGTCACAGTTGTACAGCTGTTACTTAATTTAGTATAAATTTATTACTGTTAAAAAGTAAATCTTAACTGGTAAGTTTTTCTTTTATAAGCAGTATATTCTAATGGCCTTTCTCATTAGACAAATTTGAATTTGAGTCTGAGTCCTGTTACTTAAAAACTGTATAACTTTGCCTAAATAGTTTCTCCCTCTGCATGTCTGTTTTATCTGCTCTGAGTGTCAGAATGTTTATAGCAACAATAGCCGTAACTGACTGAAATGGGACCTGTCGAGTTCCGGGCAGCCGGTGGCACCTGCTGTTTTCATTCACATTACTAGGATTTTAAATATTTAAGATGACATATTTGCAGAGTACATTTTTGTAGCTGAAAGCACATTTCTTGTTTTCCAGAAAGAACACCTGAGCTGCTCTTAATGCCATCTCCTGAGGACACGAATGAAGCACAGAACATGCCAAGCAGACGCTTTAGGAAAAGGCATAAAAGTGACGATGAATCTCATTTGCAGCAGCAAATGCCGTGGGGAAATAGGAACCGTAATCTTAGTGGTGGGGTACTGATGGGATTTATGCTGAACCGAATTAACCAGGAAACAAACCCTGGAGATATGGTGGAAAAATTAGGAGCTGATGCAAAAATTCTTTCAAATGTTATTGCAAAAAGCACAAGACCAAATAGTCTTGATATTGGAAAACCACCGGTGAGATCCAAGAGAGACAGCCTAGAGAAGGAGTCTAGTGACGATGACACACCTTTCGATGGCTCTAACTGCTTGGACAAAGTGGAGTCTCCTGTTATCTTTGACTTAGAAGATTTAGACACTGAAACAGATGGATCAAAAGTGGGATGTGTCACTGCACAGAATCCCAAGAGGCTTCAGCGTATGAACAGCAGCTTTTCAGTAAAACCTTCTGAAAAAACAGATGTTGTAACAGGATTTGATCCTCTCTCACTTCTGGTTGCTGAGACTGAGCAGCAGCAGAAAGTGGACGAGGAAGAGGAGGAAGATGAGAACAAGAGCGTCTCAACACCGTCTGCCAGGCGCAACTTAGCTGAGGAAATTGAGATGTACATGAATAACATGAGCAGTCCGTTGACAAGCCGTACCCCAAGCATTGATTTACAGCGAGCATGTGATGATAAGTTAGCCAATAAGAAAAGTCCAACATTGGTCAAGGCCTGCAGAAGATCAAGCCTGCCTCCCAATTCTCCTAGGCCAGCGAGACTTACGAAATCCAAAAGTTACACCAAGAGTGAGGAGAGACCAAGGGATAGACTGTGGTCCTCACCAGCCTTCTCACCCACTTGTCCATTCAGGGAAGGGTCTCAAGAGACACTAGCCCACTCGTCACCTTCATTTAACCTGGATACACTGCTGGTGCCTAAACTTGATGTTCTGAGGCACAGTGTGTTCACTGCTGGGAAAGGAGTTGCAGAGAAGGCAAGCAAGTGGTACTCAAGGTTCACCATGTACACCACGTCGTCAAAGGTAGGTTTGTCGGCATTTGCTGCTTTTCTTTTCCAAGCTGCCTCTACCACTACTACTTACAGCTTACTTGTGAGCACGTCTGTCATAACCACTCTACTTACATACAGCTCATAAATGTCAATGAGGGTTTTTAAAGATTTTTTTAAGATTTATTTATTTTGTATATGTGCCAGAAGAGGGCATCAAATCCCATTACAGGTGGTTGTGAGCCACTGTGTGGTTGCTGGGAATTGAACCTAAGCCCTCTGGAGGAGGAGTCAGTGCTCTTAACTGCTGAGCCATCTCTCCAACCTTTCAAGATTTTTTTTTAATTGACATGCATGCATGTATGAGTGTGCCTATATGAGTTCATGTGAACCGACTGTGTGCAAATGTCTTCAGAGGCCAGAAGAGGGTGTAGGATTCCTAGAAACTATAGTTACAGACAGTTGTGAGCTGCCATGTGGGTGCTGGGAACCAAACGCAGGTCCTCTGCAAGAGCAGTAAATGTTCTTAATTTCAGTATTCTCTTTAGAATATACATTTTTGTCGGTGTCCAGTATGTCTCCAACCATTACTAACCAGGAGTATGCTGTCTCCTCCTGGGTAGGTTGAAGTATCTTGTGACAGACTTGTATTTCTCCCAAGAACAAAAATGTAGAGGAAGTATAGAAAGTATGTGTTTATAATCATAAGAGAACTGTCACAGTTAGGAAACAGAAAGGCAAGAAATTACACAAAGGAACTAATTCAATAGTCTTTTTCCTCAGAAGGCATTTCCACTAATTGTGAGCATAGAACATTAAGTTTGCCATCTTTGAGAGGAGAGGAATGAAAGGGGGAGGGGAAACAAGACATAAACGTTGAGGGCTTCAGGTACAGAAGGTTTGTCACGTGGCCTTTGGAAAGCCAGTGCTGCCACTCACCATGCTCCTCAGGCTCCAGTTAGCCCTGGTATGTTTCATCTGTCCAGTGGAGTGGCCACACCACTCACCATAACATCTGACAAAGTTCTTCATGTGTTCCCCTCTCAGTGTTTTGTATCTTACAGTATTAGAGAAAGACATGTCTTCTGGGCCTTTCCATCATGGTGTATTAGGTTTTAACCAGCAAGTCCATTCCAGCATTCCAGTTTTACTCAGCCTCAAAATCCCTTCATCAGCACTAAACTAAGGGATATCAGGCATCCCAGTTCCTTCTCAGCAGGCCATCTTTTGACAAGTACTTTCGCCAACCAGTCAAACTCTGAGCACCTGTTTTAACTGTTCAAACTTTCTTACAAAATCTAGAGTCTCTGTTCAATGGGTCCATACTGGTAAACCCAACCTAATCCTGTTTTTAGGTTCTTTCCATTATCCCACATCCATAAAATCCATTCCCACACACTCCCTAGACTTCTGCTTGAATGAATGACGTCTTTAGTGGTATAGCTCACCTCCTTATGGACTGTACTTTAAATCTCACTTCTAGGAACCTGCTTAGACTTGTGTCTAGTTACATCTAGAGACAACAATTGGTAGGCGTTGGAGAAATATCAGCATTGGCTTGCCTGGCATCTCCTTCAGGGAAAGTGATGGCTGGTTCTAAAGACAGTGTGGGATTGATTCCCTTAGGCAGGGTTGGCGAGGGCAGTACTGCATAGTGAGAAAGGTCAGCAGAAAGCCTCTGAAAAATAACAATTAGGAGTACCGTGGTGAGAAGAGCTAGCTCTAGCTAGCATCTGTGAGTTGCCAAAAGGGAGGAGCTCTGTCCAACAGGTCCCTGAACCCTGAGAGGCATGTGCTCAGGGCTAAGGAGTAAATTTAGTGGCCGAGCTCTGCAGTAGCATACACGAGGCCTAAATTCAATCCCCAGTTCTACTCCACTCCCCTCCCAGAAAATCTGTATTTTAGGAGTATTGGCAACCCCTGGGCAGACTGTAAAACCTAGAATGAATTTGGCTCAATCTGTGATTAAATTACAGTAACAGTTTTTATTTAGCACAAGAAAGAATATACTCTTCTTGAAGGAATAAAATCCCTGGGCTCCTTATCAGAAGTAAGTAATGGGAACAGAACCCCAAATGATCCAGATATTTGTATTAGCAAGGGACCTTTAGGTAATTTTCAGATATTCAAGGAAATAAAGGAAAAGAAACAGAAATTATACAAATGGAGAATCTCACAAGGTAATGAGAATCTTTTGGAGGAAAATAAAGCAATGAGTGTAAGCCATAAAACTTAAAAATATACTGAGAATGCAATAGAAAAATTTGATAGCAAATAAAACAAATGGAAAGATTAGAGATGCCACTTGAAAATATCTGTACTGAATCGGAGATAGAAACAAGTTTAAAACACAGAAAAGGTGCTGGGATACGTAGCTATCTAAATTGGTAAAGTACTTGCCTTACAATTACAAGGACCTGAGTCTGACCCCTAAAACTCACATTAGAAACAACCAGCTATAGTGGCACACTTGTAATCCAAGTGCTGGGGTCAGAAAAGAATGAAACAGCCAGATTCCTGGGGCCTGGCCAGCTAGCCTAGCCTATGTACTGACTTCCAAATAAGTAAGACTTTCAGTTTGCTATCTGTTGTTGTTATAAAGACCATGAGCAAAAGCAGTTTTAGAGAAGAAAGAGTGTATTTGGCTTACATGTTCCAATTACAGTCCACCTTTGAGGGAAGTCCGGACAAGAACTCCAGAACAAAAGGAGAGGCAGAAATGTGGAGGAACACTTCTTCTCACTGGCTGGCTCCTGTGAGTCGCCCATCCTGCGCTCTCTCACCGCTCAGGACTGCCTGCCCAGGGCTGGCATCACCCACAGCACTCCAACGTTATTGCCCATAGATTTGCCTACAGGCTAGTCTGATTGGGGGCATTTTTAAAATTGAGGTCCCTCTTCCCAGATAACTCTAGTTTGTGTCAGGTTAGGGGTGAAGTAGGGGGACAAAACGGAACAAAACCAAACAGCACAAGGACTCAGTCTTAAAACAAATACAACAACAAAAATAGGTAAACCCCCACATCAGGAGGCTCATGGCTTCAGGCAGATCTGGCTCTCTGGCCTCTTGGGGCACCTGCACTTGTGTACATATCATACATATTTAAATTTGTGAGGTCCTGGCGCCTGGGACAGTTCTCAAGGTTGTCCTCTCCCTCTACATGCACTCATCCTTGTGTGCAGCAAAAAAAAAAAAAAAAAAGTTTAAAAGCTTCAGGTGATAGTTTGGATCCACTGTGATAGCATAAGACCACTTAATACCGCCCTACATCTATTTACTATAAACTCTAGAACATATATATAAACAATTAAAAATCCTGCAAAGAAAGAACTGATGAAGTTCAAGGAAGGACCCCCACGGAGATGAGTTTCCTGTTCTCTCTTCAATGTCCTCCTTGCCCCCAAGGGCAGTCACAGTGGGCCATCATAGCTCTAAAAACTAAAGTCACAGGAGAACCCATATCTTATGTACAAAAGAATCAGGAAAGAGGCTTCTGTGGGCTAAGAGTCTGAAGGGAATCCTATTTAAGTCTCAGCATAATCCTTCATTTACACACATTAGAGCTAGATGGAGACTGACAGAGAAGACTGAGTTAAAACTCGACCTACAAAGAACAAAACACAAAAACACAACCCAAATATGATTTAACATTGGCTTAAAACTAAAGCATCCATAGTCCCCAAAATATTATTACAATATTCATGCTACACAAAGCCAGCACTCACAATAGCCAAAGTGAGGTGGTGGTGGTGGTGATGGTGGTGGTGGTGGTGGTGGTGGTGGTGGTGGTGGTGGTGGTGGTGGTGGTG